CTAATTTAGTACATTTTCTTTTATTTTGTTTCTTTTGTACGGGCTCTCTTTGTTGATTTTTGTTGATTATTTTTACAAACACTGTGGGAAATGTTCCCCTTCTTCACCTTAGCGCGCTGCTGTCATGATACGGCGATTCTTCGAGCTGAATCAATGCATCATATTGACCCGTTAATTTCAAGTTCTCAAATTAAGTGCACATTGAAGATTGACAACGTGGCAACATATCTCGAATCCTCCTTGGAAATGTTGCCGTGTGACAAAACACATCCCAGTTGGAACATTTCTCGTATTCCGTCAACGTGGAATGTGAACATGGCCAGAAAATCCGGACATTTGAGACCGCAATCGCAGCAGTACTTCGCATAAATGCATAAAAACATGTTTGTAAATTTTACAAAGAAATGTATGGATCAAAAAAAATATTTGAGAATAACATTTCATCTGTTTTAACTGGAAAGATTCCATAGATGAATTCGTAGAGGGAAACTATTCTTGATTCTTGAAATCCAAATAAATCCAATATTGTTAACAGCGTCCTTTTTGACAATTTATTTTCCTTTCGTCGTCTCCCTTTGGCCTTGTATCTCATGGTGAAAATTCGAGAAGAAGCGAAATTTCACCGTAGCTGATCGTGTTCCTTTACATGTCACTGATATTCCATAGATAATTTCTCAAAGTCAACATATTGAGGTAGGAACACAGCGATTTTCAGCTATTTTGAAGACGGTCAACAGCGTCCTTTTTGGTACTAGGAATACAATTTGAAAACACTAACTTGACGCTGAAATGGCTGGCGAAGACGCGTGTTTCACGCGAATACTTGGCCTGATCTTCCATTTTATTATCCATGTTTGGTACCAAAATAAACCTTAGAAACATGGCTTTCAGACTGGGACTTCTTTAACTTTGGAGGTTTTTACTGGCACCTTGCGCGCACTGGTAAATAGCGCGGATAGCGGGAAATACGAACGAAAGATAGGCCAATCAAGTCTAGTGTAAACAATGTCAGACCTTTTAAATTCCTTAGAAATGTACAAGTATAAACAAAAACCACAATATCAACTGGTGATCATTGTTTAAAATACCTGAGGGAAACGTGTGTTCCAGCAAATATTATTATTTACACTATGAACATTCCAAACGAGCACCTCACAAGCCACTAATGAACTCAAGGATCAGGGCGTGCTATACTCGTTTGTCGATGTTTTGAACGTTTCGATTTTAGCCCAGTATTGTATTAAGATAAAGGATCGTTGCACAAGAGTAGAAAATTTGATCTTCAAAAGTTCAAACCTCAAGGGAACTTGTAGAAAGCTCTATTTTGGTGGGAAAACCCGCTGACTCGTTCCGGGCTCAAATGTCCGGAATTTCTGGCCATGA